AAAAAAAAAAAAAAAAAAAAAGAAAGAAAGAAACGATCAATTCAACGAAGCACACATCTGCAAACAGATACACACAGAGCAATGATCAACATTGTGATTTTTTATTCTAAACGTAGTTCAGTTCTACGTCTGATTTTCAATCGCGAAACACGTTTTCGGGCCGCGTGAACGGTACACGTACAAACACACGCACACAGAGTCCCGTCGACATCGTGAAGTGGATTGCGGCCACGGCTCGGAGATTTAACGAGCATTAGGTATGAGATCGACGTTCGTCGAGGACTGGCAAGCATCGGCGATCGTCCCCGCTGCAATCGCTGCGGTGCGAGTTCAACGAGTTAGTAGCATGGGCATGTATGTGTGTGTCTGTCTGTCTGTCTATCTGTCCGAATCGCAGCACGTTGAACGTCCAACTTCATCGTAATATGTATATGTTCTCTATACGTGTGTACCTTTCACCCTGTGTGTGTCTATACATATATATACACGTATTTCTACACTTTCGCACGTATGTACGAAAGTATTTTACACACGTGTATGTATATATATGTACTACGTACCCTACTTTAGATTACCGTATTTTTAAGGATTTACGTGATTTGCTTCGGAGTGGCGATGATTCGGGAGCATGTAATTTCGACTTTAATCGTACATATTTTTTTACCCAGTGAAAGAGAAAATAAGATGTTCGAGAGTTTTTCAACTGAAAGGTTTTAATTCTTCTGTGGGATATCTGGATTTAGATGTAAATTCTTAAATCAAGATTTTTTTCAATCAGAATCTCTTAGATTTTAGATTCTCGCTATTGATGAAATCCCGAGACTGACAAGATTTCTCAATGAGAATTCCCGCTCGTCTATAACTTTCATACCTAGTCTTGACAGTCAAAGTGCTTGATGCATCTCTGAGAGACAATTGAAATTGTTACCTCGATTCTCAAGTTATCGCCACGTCGAATCAGGCCATTTTGTTAAATGTACTCCCTACGCGACTCACGCCGAGCTTTTGCACGCTTACGAGGTGGCTGCCAAGAAACGTGACCTCTGAGTGCTGAGTTCGATGGTTGTTGAACTGTTCTATAGATGTGCATGAGAGCCTGATCGGTATGATCGTTTGAGAATACAAATCCACCGGTTATGGTTACGTGTTGTTTTCACACATGCAAATGTGTCCTGATGATTTCTTCTCTCTCTTTTTTTTTTCTTTTTTTTTTTTTTATTTTATTTTATTTCAGAGATGCGAACGACGTCGTTCTATTTTCGGAAATGAAGACTGATAGAAAAGTCTTTTCAAATGTGAAAACAAAGTGTAAATACTTCGTTGTAAATTCGCGTAAATTTCAGTCAGGGATTTAAAGTCACCGTGTTGCTCGTCGATCAATGTTTAATTAACTTTTCATGCCACGGTGAGCTTAAGGTAACTCGAAGGAAATGTTGATCTAATCTAGTTACCTGTTGCCCCCGATATCTAAGAATACGAAAGACTGAAGGAAAATGTATTTGAAACGAAATGAAACTATCCCCGTGGATAATGTTTGTGGAAACTGCAATCATGGAGAACGAAAACAAAGAGCTGGAATTTTTTTTTTTTAGCCGGTACGACAGGAAACAGGTAACTTTTCAAATAGCTGGTCCCAATTTGCGACTTACAAGTCACTCTCTAAATATTTTATATTCAGCTCGAAAACTCGAGTGCCTTCAAAGTTTGAGTGCTTCCAAAGTTTAAAAAAAAAATTTTGAAGTACGTGGATTTGGAAGTTTGAACGTTTCAAGATTTAAAAATTTTCTATAGGTTCAAGCGTCTGGAAGTTTGGAAAAACTGTTTGCGTAAAGTGCGCGTATACTCGAATGTTTTAAAGTTAAAAACATTTGAAGATTCGAAAATTTGGGAATTGGAGAGTTTGAACTTTTCAAGATTTAAAAATTTCGAAGTCCAAACGTGTAGAAGTTCGAAAAAATTCGACAAATTTTAAGTTTGAATGCTTCGAAATTGAAAGATTAAAAAATTTTAAATCACGCAGATTTGGAAGTATGAAAATCTGAAAATTTGTGAATTGGGAGGTTCGAACGTTTCAAGATTAAAAAATTTCGAAGAAGTTTGAAGAATATAACAATTTTTGAGTTTGAATGCTTCGAAATTAAAGGATCGATATCTAAAAGAGAGTTTCAATATTTAAATATTTAAAAATTTGAGATATATTAAAATATTGAGAAATAAGAAATATTGAAAACTTGAGAGTTAATTAAATTAGTTAAGTTAGTTAAAATAAGAAATATTGAAAACTTGAGAGTTTTAGAGAAAATCTCTGAGATTATTAATTAAAAATCTTCGTCAAACTTACTTCATCTCTCCGCAATTGAATTCATGTCGATGTATCTGAAAAAAACAACTTTATCGCTAAAAAAAAAAAAAAAAAAAAGAATAGATCCCCAACTGTTTTTGCAACATTTGCGTAGTTACACAGTGCATCATAAAATTCTAACAGATTACTACTAAAAGCTTTATTACTCTGGGAAAGTGCGCGTCCCATTTTCAAGACTCGTAATCGGCAACCTCTATTTGCAATTGATCGTGTGGTCGAAGCAAATCGAACTGATAAAACAGATCGTAACCTGCTTCAACACGCGATACTTTTTAAAATCACCTCTTTTTTTGCGCACTTGCGTCGACTTTCCTCTCGGTTATCCTCTCTCTGAGGCACCGCTCGAATACTAGAATTTTAGACAAATGAGAAAACGTGCGAGGAATTCTGTGCTGAGGAACAATTGAATCGGTAGACTCATAGTGTACATAGAATAAAACTAAACCAAGGAAAAACGATTATAAAAATAGAGGAGGATGAAAAAAGAATCAGACTGAAAATTTTTAGTAGACATCTGAGAGAATTTGTTGTTTAGAATTTACCTTTCTAAATTTCATTATCCACAGGTAATGTAGCGGCAAATCTATTTGCAGATTATTTCTAAAAATCTACTCTAGATCCCCTCGTGATTTTTCTGCAATGAAATCTTCGATAACTTCGATAAATTTAACTCTGTTAACTCTGTCGAGTAACAATACTTAATATCTTCAATAGCGCGACAGTGAACTTTAAGTCAACTCGGAACTCAAAAACACGTCAAGTTTCTTTCGTTTTCTTAGATACGGTAACAGGTAAAGAGGAGAACTTCTCCAAACCAAATACTTGATAATAAATATCGAAACATTCCGCGAGGTAAGTAGAAAGGCAAACGAACGAAGGCTAGGAACCGGACTCGGGCAGAGTGAATACGGTTTTTTTGTGGGCACGTGTCGCGTTAGGCAAGCGACGTGTGGCAATCGTCTAATCGTTGATTAACGTTGCCAGTGATCTCCGCCCAAGGGCTGATCGCGAAGGACAAGAGCGGCACATCTGATCCATACGTGACCGTCCAAGTCAGCAAAATGAAGAAACGCACCAAGACCATGCCAAGGGAATTGAATCCAAATTGGAACGAGAAGTTCTACTTGTGAGTAACGTTTCGATAATCTCACCAGCTGACATTGATCCCAGTCATTTCATATACATAAAAACAGAAAGATTAATCGTCTTTAATCTCTTGTAAAAGCATTAATTTATTAAATTGTAATAATTCACTAAAGTATTCAAGTTCGCGCAAGATTCGCAACAATTACTAAACTCTCAAACTCTTGGATAGTTTATTCAATTACACCTTTCCTCTTCATCTAGACTTATTCACATCTTATTTGTACACCTCTGGCAAAAAGTTCTCAATCAAAAGCAAATATTCGAAAGCGTTCGGAAAGTACCGTATTTGTTTGAAACACGAGAGACGAAATTAACGATTTCAATTGAAAGTTCAATTTTTGAATATCGTCGAATGTTCCTTTGTTGGATTGAAAATTTCTTGCCAGGAGTAGTATTCTACACTTAACATTCCTTTTTATAGTTTGATATTAAAGACAAGATTACCTAAAAATCCAAATCCAGTTGAATCCAAACTCCTCTAAACAGCACTGATTCAACCGATCCAAAATGAATTAATTCAAATCCCCATGAACAGCAGCGAGAGCGCTAGCTCGAATGAAAGTGAAATCACCACCAATTAATGTAAATCCCGGTGTGCCACAGCGAGTGCCACAACTCGTCCGATCGAATAAAAGTGAGAGTATGGGACGAGGACAACGATCTGAAGTCGAAGCTGCGGCAGAAGTTGACGAGGGAGAGCGACGACTTCCTCGGCCAGACGATCATCGAGGTGCGCACGCTGAGCGGCGAGATGGACGTGTGGTACAATCTCGAGAAGAGGACGGACAAGAGCGCGGTATCCGGCGCGATCAGGCTGCACATCAGCGTCGAGATCAAAGGCGAGGAGAAGGTCGCGCCTTATCACGTGCAGTACACCTGCCTGCACGAGAATCTCTTCCACAGCCTGTGCGAGAAGAACGACGGCGTGGTGGCTCTACCTCAGGCGAAAGGGGACGATGCCTGGAAGGTGTACTTCGATCCGCCTGGCGAGGAACTCGTCGACGAGTTCGCCATGAGATACGGCATCGAGAGTATCTACCAAGCAATGACGTAAGTCGTCTTTCATCGTACAATGACCCTGCAACCTCGTCACGCACATTAATTTGACTACAAAAATTTTTATTTTGCAACTTCATTCTGTTTAACCCTCAATCACATGGTATCATTGCAGTATTTTGCCTAAAATTCAAGATATTTGATTTCTTTCTTTTTTCTTTGTATTTTATAATGTATTTTTTATGATGGTGATTAGATGAAAATTTCTTACAGTTCACATAGTACCATTGGACTATAGTACTTTACCTAAAATTCAAGATATTTAATTTTCCTTTTCTCTTTTGTATTTTGTAATTTTTATGATGAAGATTAGACGAAAACTTCTTACAGTCTCTTCGGCTCAATAATTAATTGACTAAATTCTGTTTCTTGAAATCAAGTATTCATCAGTTGTGTCTAACGTTAAAAATTAACTCAAGTTTGAACAAAATTTCTATATATGATTTCGTTTTAGTTTAGATTAACTAAATGCTCTTTTCGCGATAAAAAAAATTGAAATATAAATTTCATGAACAGTTTTATCACAATCAGTCAAACTTACTTAAAATTCAACTTTTGAAAGTTTTGTTCAATAATTTTCTCAAAGGATTTATTCAACAATTCCTTCGAAAAGAACTCTCCTCTTTTATAACAAAATTGTTATTTTCATGACTGTTCACTCGTGCAATAATTGATATTTAACACGAAAATAATGCCTGAATTTCCTTGTCGTACCCTGATCGAAGTTTTAATTATATGCAGTTTAATTTTAATAGCACACAGTTACAAAAATTTCTACGTGCAATAATATAAAAAGACAAGTTTCGTTAATAATCGTTTTTCCAAATATTTTCCAGACATTTTCACTGCCTCTCCACGAAATATCTGTACGCGGGTGTGCCAGCGGTAATGTCTACCCTATTGGCGAACATAAACGCGTACTATGCTCACACGAGCGCGGGTTCCGCTGTTTCGGCCAGTGATAGATTCGCCGCCAGCAACTTTGGGGTAAATTATCATAATGAAATATCGAGGATCAATGTTTACTCTATGATATGTTCCTGCAATTCCCTACTAGCAATCCAAATCATCGATTGTTCATCAATCAAATTTGTTTGTCTTTGCGAAACGCTTATCTCTATAACTTTATCAATTCCACCGTTCGTTTTATTTCCATCCTTTCGTTCAACCTTTGTTTGTTCTGATGATACACTCTGACTGAGAAATAATTCCTATAATTCCCTAAATCCAAATCGTCCATTGATCATCAGTTTATTCGTCTTTACAAAACGCGCGTTTTCGTTGACTTTATCAATTCCAGCTTTTACTTAATTTTATTAATTTCCAACATTCAATCTTCATTCGATTCAACCATCGATTGCTCTGTAATACAGTCTGACTGACAAATGTTTCTACGATTCCCTGCTAGTAATCTAAATCGTCCATTGGTCAATTTGTCCATTTTTTTTTATAAAGCGTTTTTATTTGTCCCTTTGTTTGAAAATGGACACCGTGGATACACACGGCCCGGGCTAATTAAAATTTTAATCAATATCTTCTTCGATTCTGCTACGCCAACGTTGATGAACGTTTGGACGTTTGAAATAGAAGTCGTCTGTCGATAATAATTTGTTCGCTTTCTCATTACTGCGGCTTCATTGCTTTATTAATTAACAGAATATAACACGCACTGTGTTATAGTAAATGTGAAATTAGCTTGAAATACGATAAATTAGTTCGAAACGAAGAGATACTGAAACATAATGCTGCGACCATCTGACGTTGAGAAAGTGCGAATTTTTGGGGAAAGGAGGGATTTTCGACTATGCAAATCACCGTCCAGGAATTGCAGATTCTCTGTCGTTCGCGCCACAGAGTTAAACTATGTAAATTTTTTTCGAAAAAGTTGCCAGGAGGGGAAAAAAAGAAAGAGAGAAACGACTTTTTTTGTTGAATTATGCATGACTCTGTCCGAATGGTAGACATACGATTCAATACCCTCGCTTCGAAAGCTCTAATAAAGAACAGCTGTGCCGGATGTTAACGAGAGAAACTCCAATGCCACGAATCTTCGAGAGAGAAACTCTGTCGAGTAAACTTTGCCGAAGACGAAAAGCAACAAACAGCAAAATGAACGATTCCATGAGATATTGCGTAATGAAGTAAATAATTGAAATTCCCTTTAACTTCCCGCGAATCTTGAAACGATGAATTCGACGGAACATTGTATAATACAGAAAACAATTGGAAACCTTTTCTCGAGAAACCCTCGAAGTTATTGTTTCGTGAATCTTCAAATTTATTCGTCTAAAAGATAAAAGTACTATAATTATGTGTAATTCTCTGTTACACGATATGAATTACTCGAAGAATATTGTGCTGTTGATCTACACTGTAGAGTAAAAATAAACAGCATTATTTCAAGCATCCGAGAATATAATTTTCAGCAAGTGAGAATAGAAGTTGAGAAGAGGAAAGATTCGACGTCATCTTTGTTAATGTCATTATTTGACTTCAGTTTCGTTATGCTCGACGAGATACTTGGTAAATTCACCTCCAAGGATCACACGTTTCTCCCCTTCTTTAGTTGTTTATTTTTCTTCTTGATCTAGCCAACCTACACGATCCTCTTTCGCACGAGCGCCTTAGGGATCGTAAAATTCTGCTAACCGTAAACAATGTCGTCGACTTAGCCAGCTAAGTTAACGGCAAAACGTTGCCGTTTCTTTAACTAAAATTCGAACACCTGTAGCTTTGCAACAGTCACTCTTAAACAAGAACTACTCTGATATTTAATGCTAATTTTAATACTGTTCTACTCGCGATAATAAAGTGTATTAAAAAGACAATAACATACGAACGTAATTGATATATTTTCTAATATAAGAACTAAATATAAAAATAAACAGAAAATTATTTATTTTGACAGTAATATTACAATTATCACAATCATCAAGTTTCTAAGTTCTACTACATCTTCAAATTGATTTCAACTATAGCATGCATTACCAACGATGCGAGCAAACCGAGATTTATAATCACGGTTTGCAAAATTCCCCCACCAATTACTCGCTTCCCTAAATCCACGTTGTCCAGAACCAAAATCCTCACATGCATAACACAGTTTCCGAGCGAGGTTGGTATAACATAACTTTCGATCGTTGCGGTTTGCTCCGGACAGATAAATGGCTCGACCAAGATGGAGACACAGACCCTTCTTCCTAGCTGACGTAGCTCGTAAT